CACTGTATACTACTGTGTACTACCTGTATATGGTTGAAGTGACAATAAAGCCTACTTGACTTGACTTGACTACTATATAAGTGAAGATGTGTTGGGCGGGTGACTGAGAGACACAATATACACAGTTAATAGTATAGCTCACTCTGCATGATGTGTGTGTGTGTGTGTGTGTATATATATATATATATATTATTTTTTTATATTTATATATATAAAATCTCCATCCATCCATCCACCTTCCATAGCTGCTTATGCATCACAGGATCCCAGTTTCCAGCATCACACTTTATCACTCTTTCCACCACACTTAGCCATACCTCACATTATATGGTGTCTATTTACGCTGATTTATAGCTTGAACAGAAACCACACTTTCAAATGTAATACTTGGCCACACGGTTTCTCCACACTGCGACAACACTTGTATCGTGAGGAACCGACAGCCTGGAAGGGCTGAGGGTAGAGGGGGGCCTCTGGAGGCCGACGAGCTCGCTTCCTGGGGCAGAATGGACCCCCGCCCTGGCTCTGTTCTATAGCTCTCCCTGCCATCCCAAAACTGTCAGCCACAAGGACCGAGTCCAGCATTTATTCATCCATTTCCCCTAAAAGCCACACCTCCCTGCACTAGACACAACTCATAGCAACCTCTCCACTGCCTGATTCAGGACTTCTGCACGACTTATAATTAAAGTGCACAATAAGCACGCCCAATGGGCTCATCTTCAGTCCCTGTCCCATGCAACAATGTGGTCTGCTGGCTGGAAGCCCAGTCCAGATAATCTCTAGTAAGCCCCCCCTGACTAAAATGAGGATGGATGATAATCCAGTCAGAAACATTACCGCACCGAAAACTGAGATGTAAAACGGGCCTTCCAAACTAAAACTCGTCATGTATTTTTAGTGAGTTGCCCAATAAACCAGCATCGCATTATTAATGCGCGTCAGTCAAGTCCCACTTCCTCACACATTTTCATACTATTGCGAGACGCAATAAAATTACTTTCCTACACATGCGAGTTCAGTGAAAAGGTTTGGTGAAACGCGGCGGCCCTGATGTTCATTTTCGAGTATTACGTCACTAAAAAAACAGCTGTACACCCCCCTGCTGAAAACTTTGTCTCACTCAGAATCCCCCCCCCTCAAAAAAAGACCTTAACTGCGTACTATTTGTGGAACATCACAATTTTCCAGTGATTCCTCCAAGAAAGATTCACTTGTGATTAGGTAGGTACACGAATTCCACACAGCATCAGATCAAATGTGTGTCAAATACAAAATATTACAAAATTAGTCATGGCTGATTTTTCATAAATGTGTCATAGCCCGATGAGAACTGTGTCAGTTCTTTTTAATGAAGTGATTAAGGTATTTATCAATTCCATCATTGGTTCACAAAAGTATTTAAAGACAATTCAGTTGTTAAATAAACTCAACCTCTCATCTTTCTAGGGAAAAGTCATTCAGTCATTAAGTATCTGGTTTATTTTTGCTAATAGCAAGATAATTACATTTTTAATTACAGCAACCAATTTTCCCTAGAACTTACCTATTAAAAACTAATTGGAGCTTTTAAAATAGTCCTATGATAACAGGAAGAAGAGTAGTTTTTTTTTTATTAATAAAAATGCCATTTTTATTTAGTCCCCAGGTTAATAACGTCCAACTTATGGAAAACTCGTACTTACGAACGGAGCACCATAAAGCCTATTATATTAAAAATTTGAGTTAAATATAATGGTCCGTAATAAGGAACGTGCACACTGCTTTGTAAGGCTTGTGAAAACATTGCACGGCTTCAGCAGTTCATTGGCTTGACATACTATATAGTAGCCTATGTAGTTACTTTTATTATTAGTGTATAATTATTATTATGATGTAGGGTACTGCATTATTTTTCCGACACCTACAAATTCGACTTAAAAGACAGACTTAGGGAACGGATTTTGTTCACGACCTGGGGACTGTCTGTACAGAGGCCACAAGTTATGACATTATATACAACTCATCCGTCATGTTTAGCTAACAGCTTGTCTGTGCCCAACCCGTCATACTGCCTACGGCCCTGCCACTGTCACAGCGTCCCTGTGTCCATGTCACCTTGTCCAGTCCGTCTGCTTTCCTTGGCCTGCCTGATTTATGTTTCCAATAAGCCGTGTCTCTACCGCCGTGGCCGCTGCAGGGACAGGCTGCCAGGCCGACGCAATACACCTCTGTTTCTTTTTTATTTTTTACCCAGACTCTTAATTACTTCCTTGGTTGAGGCAAATTAAGGTTGTTGACCCTTTGCTATAGGTGGTCTGTGTTTCACTGTTAAAGGGCATAAATGAAAAACATTTATAAAAAATAAATAAATAAATAAAATAAAAAATCATTGGACCTGAGGCACTGTAAGAACATGGTTGTCTACTACAAAATTACTCAGGAGGTGTTCTCCAAAAAGCAGCAGCCGAAGGGGGGGTGGACCATTACCTCAGCCTGCAGTACATAAGGAGGACTGTGATGCATTGGTTAGCTTTGACTCGCTGTTATGTTTTACGGCTGCTGTGAAATATGGGGGCATTATTATAATGAGACCTCACTAGTCAAACTCAAGGGCAGGTTGGGGGTTCGGGGAACAGCACAGCCCCAAGAAGCCCAAACCTGCACAGCTGTGGGTTCGATTCTTTCTGCTCGTTATGCATTCATGCTGCTTGCATGTTCTGCAGAAGATGGATGAATGAATGGCCAATCAGTTCTTCGGACAGGCGTTTGCTATTGTTTACTTTATATTTCCATTGATTTATTCGCTGCACCTGCTTGTGCTTCGCTAATCCTTTCATGCTAAACTGCCTGGTGCCTTTACAGCAGACATCTTCCATGAAGTAAGACCAACAAGATTATTTCTATGTATTTTTCTACATATTTATAATATATATTTTAAAAGGGCTACATAGGTTTGTAATTAGACTGATAAATGACTTATTATAATTAAGTGATACTCATATAGTAACTGATACTAATGACTTACTTTGTAACCATTTTTTAATGTTCAAATTCCTTCGCATTTGATGTGTGCCTCAGGTGTGTGTTTATGCTCAGTTACTCCTACACTTCACTACGCCCTCCCCCGCCCCCCCCCCCCCCCCAGCACACACACCCTTGTTTTTCCCAGCTGTCTTCCCCGCTCCACTGAAAAGAAAAAAAAAAAAACATGGAAAAAATAAAAAGAGGGTCGGCAGGGGTGGCCAATTCACGGCGCGTTTATTTTAGCTTTATTATGTACATAAACACACATCGATATTTATCTGACACAGATCCAAGGAAAACAGAGGCAGGCAATGAAAAGAACAGAGTCTCTCTTTCCTTGCTGGCGTTGGAGGGGGTAGCGGGGCGGCGGGCGGAGCGAGCGTGCGCACGTACGAGGATAAAATGCACCCCTGACCCGAGGAGTCACCAGGAACCTGACTGCACAGCTTTGGCCCTCCGGAGCAAACACACGTCCCTCTATAGCACGGTTGAAACCCTTAGCGAGGCTCTCGCATCATCAGCCACACGCTCGGGGGAACCGCTCCGCCAAAGATTTTTACATTTCTTATTTTTTCGATTTTCGCGCAAATGTAAAATTCAGACTTGTAGATGTCATGCAGATCAGGGAGTTTCAACTGGCAAATGAAGGGGGGGGGGCAGTGGACCTTGGCTTTGTGTTGCTGATGTAATTTGAACTAAATAATTGAGTAGCCCTACTATAGATACTGAGCGCAAAATGAAAGCCTATGTACCTAATTCGCTTAGGAGGCCTGCATTAAGGGACACATTAATTAATGCACGCAGTTGTGTCTCGAATTCTGAATCATCTTCATGTTGTCGTTTCCATTGCTAAAATATTTTTCACACGTACATCATCATTTATCATTCACCCATCTCCATATTTACTACATAGGTTATCTAGGTAACACTATACTGTACATACACTATACTATAGATATATAGCTGTATATAATGCACTTTAGATACCTTCACAATGTATTATTACGGTTGGTATAAAAAATATATATAAAACATACATAACTGTATATCTCCCAAGGTCACAGAAGCATACCCAAAGTGTGTCGTCCCGCCATGTCCTCAGATGAACCCCACCTCACAGTCCCAGGCAGCCGGCGAGCTCGGCCAGCGTCAGGCTGCGGTCGCCGTCGCCGTCGCAGTGCTGGGTGAACCGCTTGGCGCAGCGCCGTGGCTGCAGCCGTGGCTGCAGCCGGCGGAGGAGGTGGCGGAGGAGGTGGCGGAGGGGCCGCTCCTCCTGCTCGCTCAGCCCGCCGTCGCCGTTCACGTCCAGCGCCAGGAAGTACTCCTGCAGCACCCCTCCAGCGCCGCCCCGCACTGACACGGCCCTGTCCTGGGGGCTAGGGGAGAAGGACTCGGGGACTGGGGACGACAGCGGCACATCTACCCTCCTAAACAAACGGAAGAAAAATTAAACAAAAGAATAACTGATACTATATTACTAAAAACACAGCTCTACATATAGGTCGGCATACTACTCTGCCCCATTTTCAAATATGTTACGTGAAAATCAACCAATTAACATAGAGATTCTGTTCGCCATTCACTATGATCCATCCATCCATCCATAACCACATATTCAGTACAACGTCAGAGTGACCCTGAAGTCTATCCTACAAAGCACAGGGCTGGAGGCAAAGAACACGCTGAACAGGATGCCGGTTCGCAGGACACACGTACAGTTATACTAAGGGCAATGTCAAGGCACCAGTTTTCCTAATGTCACATTTTTTTGGCTGTGGGACAAACTCTCCAGGAATAAAGTGGAAAAACATGCAAACTCCATAAACACGTAGCCAAGGATAGAATTCGAAGCTCCAATCACAGAAATGACAGAACGTGATACGACCCATTGATCCACTTATCATATGTGAGACATCCTACTAAAATAAATTTTTACTCAGTAAATTCTGCATCCCTTAAGTGGCCACATTTGATTACATAAGATGTTCTCTTCATTAATTTAAATTAAAAGCCCAAGACTATAGTCTGTAAAAGTATGGAGAACAGCCTGGAAGAAAACCAAGTCAGGGAGAGAAAATGGTGATGTGAGGTGCCTCATAAATGAATTTTGCTTCAGGGGGGAGAGGGCATCGTACCGGGGACTCGGTAATCGTCCCTTATGGCTTGACAGCTCATGTTAGATAGTAACTCTCCTAACTCCGCTGCTTCTGCCTGCGTCCCATCGAGTTTCCTTCTAAAATCCACGGGCTCCATCCAGGTTTTGCAGCCGATATTCAAGTTGTACATTTTCCTATTATTTTTAATCATTTTATTCTGCAGTAGCAGTGTAGAATAAAGTTAAGAATATTATAAAATCCAAAAATTCTGAAGTCAGGAGCAAGCGGCTCTGACATGCTGCAGAGAAACAAAGCGAACCCTTAAGCGAAATGTGTGGTTTCACAGTACTGCACTCTAAATTACTGGCTAAAAAAAGATCAGGTAAGAAATGAAATGGAACTGTTATCCCTCCAGACCAACACAGTTTTCAGCTTGAATGCCTGGAATTTGGATGCTGTGAGGCACAGAATAAGTGCTGCAACACTGACCACTGGGAGCTCGGTGCATCTCCTGCCTGTAGAGCCTCCAGCTGCAATGTTCTCACCAGCCCCTGCAGGAGCTCCTTCTTACGAGCACCAGGACAACCTGATGAGAACAAGAGAAAGACAGCATAGCGGGGAAAGATGGCACACAACTCAAAATCCAGTGATATTTGTTGCACTGGAGGATATGTAGACAGCACTTAGGTTTCTTCATTTCTTTCTGAGATGCTTCTTTCTACTGCTCCATAAAAGATGGTGCGCCAATAGACACACAGTGACAGATTCACTGCACCACTAAGTATACCTAAATATGCAATAGCATAGAAATACAATACAATGACATCATTGCAAACATACAGTTGCAGCCGCAAACAGCATACTGCCAAACAGTAAATCACGTGATTGCAGTTGAATACTTACAAACATACAAAGACATAACATACAAAGTCGCGATGTTCAGTTGTTGCGCCTATAAGCATTATAGTGGCTAAGATGTATGATTTACGTAGTTTTAAATGGGGTGCTTCCAGAAAAGATGCAGAAAGGCATCTCTGCAATGCACAACTCATCCATCTTTGAAGTGGTCCTGAAGACAAAAGCTGGTCCCACATTACACTACGTAATAAAGTGACCACTGAATGTAGCCGGTAACCACACACATACAGGCTGGTGTCAAGGTAATGAAATCAGTGGATTACGTGCAGGTGTGCTGATTTCTGTCTATAAAATACAGCCATGCAGCCCTTTTGCATGCAATGTGAATGCAGTTCAGTGGTACAGTGCTGAGTCCTTTCTTGAAGGGCAGTCTTGAGGCTCAGGGGAAGGGGAAGTGGGCCAAGGACAAAAACAGACATAGTATTTGATTTCTGATCCCTCAGAACTCTCAGATCACCTGCAGTAATGGAACACATTGTCCTTGAAAGAACGTAGGATGAAATGAGATGCACGGTAATGCTACTTTCCGCAAATGCCAGTAGTCCTAAAAGAAGCTACGTAAGGTAGACAATATGTGAAATCCGCCAAGTTACACTCCTGGTTTATGGTATGACATCCTAGACAAAAATGTTGTCAAGACATGCTGCATTATGGGAATTTTTTTTAGTGTTTGGGTAGGGGCTCCACAGCATAGCAGCAGTGTGGGAAGTTACTAGGTTTGTAATTGTTTAATTTGTTAAAGGCAGACAAAATATTTTATTACAGAATGTAATCCTTATTTGCTGGTTCTTGCATGCTCTGGTATGGTGTTTATGCTTGTCTACTTTTCTGACAGAATAACAAGATACGTGTAATTCCATATTCTGGAAGATTTGGAAATATTTACCAAATAACTGATTAATGATAGCAATTACAGAATTAATGGATATAGTATAAGTACCAAAAGATTTAGGTAGCCTATCAAATAGCTTAAGAAACTCCACTACTGTTCCCACATATAACTTACTGTAGATTCTTAAACAAAAAAAAAAAACCTGTCAAACACATTTTGAGTTATCCTAACTCAAATTGTCTGTGGCGACAGACTTGTTGCAAAACCATATGCATTCCCCTTCCAGGGAATAAGTTAAAGCAGATAATTCATAGCATCTGGGGAACTACTTAGTGCAATGTCAGGTGATATTAACAGAGAAATAAATTAGATGATCAATGCCATCAAAAACACAATTTAAATAAATTTGGGAATTAGATTAGTCTTATAGAGGACAGATATAGGAAACTGAAAAAAAAATACAAAATACTCCCATAGGGAAGGATTAATCATAGTCCTAAGAGTATGATTTATTAAACGCAAGTAAATAAAATAAGTTCCCTCCCATTTTTGGAATGAGATTAAATGTTCCTGGAATACTGCAGACAAAACATGCATTTACTCACTAAGTCTTTAATGGTTGTTGATCATCCTCATGCAGACAGTTTCTGAGAAATGACCTTCGCGAGACATTTTTAATTGGATTTTTATTTCGAAAAAGGTAATAATTTCATTCCCAACCTGTCTACCGGATTCATTTGAATAAATATATACACGGAAATTAAATTCATGCCAGAGGAGGGTGTCAGAGGGGAGAGGCAGAAATGAGGTAAGATAAAAAGACTATGTGCTGAAGCTAGAGCAGAGGATTCCCGGGGGAATGTGAGCCCCCAGTTCAGCAAAGTTGTTTAATTCTGTTAGACAGCAGTAAATGCTCCTGTTAGCCCATAGCATGGTCAATGGTTACTTGTGGATATTAGTGGGGCTCGTCAACAAAAGCACAGCAGCACAAAGGTGGAAGCCCTTCATTTTACAGTGTGGTATAAATACAGTGCGGTATAAATACAGTGTGGTATAAATACAGTGCGGTATAAATACAGTGTGGTATAAATTGTACCAGTTTATACCTTGCTTTTAGCAAGCAAGCCCACTGTTTCTTTTTCAATAATGTTAACATTATTATGGGGGTGGGGGTGGGGGGTGGCAGCCAGTTGACCAGTGATTCCTTTGCTTTTACCATCTGGCTTTCTTTCTTTCATTTCTTTGTCTTCCCTTTTCCCTGTTCTTGAATATTTCCAGTATAAATGATGCAGGAATGTATCGCACACCCATGTATAGCACTTTGGAGTGACCCTGTCGTGCAAGGAGCTGTATAAAAACACACTGAAATTGAATTTAATTGAAAAAGATCCAGCAAACCAGAAGGCAGTGAAAATGATTTACAGAGAGAAAATACAGGACAAACTGAAGGCCGTCAGAAACAAATAAGCACAAGGTACCAAAAAAATGAAAATTATCCAAAAATAACCCAGCGATAATCTAGATCAGTTCACTAAAATCCAGTGCCTTCCGTAACTCACAAGCTCTCCTCCCATCCCCCCCCGACTGACTGCATAGCCGTCTATGCCCTTATCCTGACTCACAACCGCACCCTTTGGGTTATACTATTGTTAGTGGTAATTGGTGCGACCTGGGCAGGCACTATTTTAGGCAGCCTTACGGGGTCTGTGGGAGCCATTTCACCAAACAAAACAAGCATCAAAACATGGGCCACATACCCGTCAGTAATGGCCTCCGTCCCTCACAGTCTATATGTAGCACCAACAATGACAAAAATAAAGTCTGTAGAACTTGGTGAATATGGCAAAGGTATTTTTAAGTCATAAACAGATTTAATTTACGTCCTGAGATTCACTCTCTGGCTCTCAGATGTCACCAAGACCTAAGTGGCAGGAAACAATCCTTGTACAGGTTGAAATGGAAACGTTCTTAGTTATTTTGATGGGCAGTCTTACAAGCACTTCTGAAGCCCTCAAAATGTACAGCCTCACAGGGAGGTGGAGGTGGAGGTGGCAGGACTCACCCGGCAACGGCTTGTCCTTGTAGCCCTTGTCCCTGTGGCCAGCCTGCTTCTGCTCCTTACTGCAGTCTGGTAGCTGGTTCCTACACGCAGGTCAAGGTAAGATGATGTGCCACAGCCTGCTTTTTCACTTATACTTCCATTCCATGGCTTATTTCTAATAATAATAATAATTATTATTATTATTATTATTATTAATAGTTATTTATTTCATAAAAATTCCTTATTATTCGGTTTTTCAGTATATTTTATTTATGTGCTTTGTAATGTTTACTTTGTTTTCACTTTTATGTATGGCCGTCTGTGCTCTATGCACTTAAAGCTGTATTCACAACCACCACCCCCCCCCCCCCCCCCCCCAGAATCAATAAAGTTTAAGGAATAAATGAAGATTGAGATACATTTCTATTTATCGTGCATCTCAGATAGCTTTAATCCTGCATGTTGTTCCGGGATTTGTGTTCCCATTTCCCCGAAGTACGTCTCACTTCATTCGCAGTGCGTGTGACGTTCCGGCGGGTGTACAGGTGTGTCACCTGACTGAAGTGCCGCGCACCAGACGGCCAGTGTCCACCCACACGCACCAGCAGTAGCCAGCGGCAGCGTGGCACTGGACGGGACTGTAGCGGCCGTCGGCACTGCACTCCGGTACGTAGCGCTCCTCATTGAGGCGCGGGGGCGCGGCCGCCGCCAGCAGTGCGGCTCGCTCCCGCTCACACGGCCGCGGAGTCTCTGCGTACAGGCGGTGCGCCGCGTATGGAGAAAACCGATATTACGGCAAACACAGCGAGCAAAGGACATCGAGGCTCTGTCATGCACCGATCACATATTGATAAACACACAACGGCTTTTATTGAAAAATGGCTAAAGATAAATTGCTCATTGATTTTTGTAAAGCGGGGCTGATAAGCTATCAAATGAGACATCGAATGGCCAAGGTTGAAGGTGTTAGGCCACACACAAAGGACAAGGGCAATCAGTCCCTCTCCTGTGTAGTGAATTTGCTTCCAAGTCATGTGACTGTTTGTCAAAACAACAACTTTGTTCAATCAACCCATCCATAAATTCTGCATTGCCTAATTGTCTATCCACTATGAGGCCATGGGAGGGATTTACATAAGCAACATTCACAGAGGCCTAAACATATTTAATTTTGTTATTTTGTCATTTTTGCAACTTAAAAAACGTTACAAAAAAAAATGGAAAATTGGAAAAAAACACACACACGTTTGTATTCATTTCTATGGGAAAAACCCTAATCCCAACAACGACAACCCTAACCCCAACCCAGCCCTAACCTTGACCATAAGTAACCAAACAAAATACAAGACATTCTTAGTTTTAGGTTCTTGATCAGTGACAGATTTTAATAAAATTGAGTTTCCTCCTGTAAGGACAGAAAAAATGGTTCCCACAACGTCAAAATAACAGGTTTTTATCACACTGTGGGGACATTTGGTCTCCATAATATAATATATACAACATATACAATATATATGACTACAGACAGGCAGACACATAAACAAACACACACACAGGTCTAGTAAAAAATTTTGAAACCTAAAACACAACTGTAGAAATTCATATCTGCAAGGCTTAGGGGGCGGAAGATTCCTACGAATTTGGATATTTGCAAATAATATTTGGGTCCATTATTAAAAATGCAAAATTAACAGCACTGAAAAGTTTAAAAGTGAGAAATGCGAGATTCCATGATCACAAAGACAGTGACACGAGAGGGAGGCTGGTTGCCGAGGGAAAGATGAGCAGTATATCCAAGCCAAGACCTTGAATAGTAAAGATATAGTAAGCATTTACAGTATGCACCCTAGCAGATATTATATAGTATTAATATTTATATATGGTTCTATGTGATCTAAATCATTTTCAGTATTTCTCTCGTCCAAAAATATTCCCATTTAATTGTGAAACACTGCGTCTGTGTATTTATTGCATTACGCCAGCTCACCTGCAGGGGGCCTAACGTGGCGATTCCCTTTGGGGTCGGAGTTCAACAGAATGGTCACCCAGAAGGGAGGAGCCGTTATTTCTGTGCAAAAAAAAAAAACAAAAAAAAACGTCTCACTTCAGTGTGTATATAAACAGAAACTGTTAGCATTAGCGGCTTAGCGACATTGTGGCTCCTGTCACCTGATACTGCAGAGCTAGAGGAGTCGCTGAGGCTGGGGTCGGGTGTGGGGCTCACTCTGCTGCCCTCTGGATGAAAATACATCATGGATGAAGATATACAATGACTCGAGTTATATATTACAAAAGACTTGCATATACCCTGCCCAGCAATGGTAAGGTTATGGTCGTAATACGTATTTATATGTAAGATGTTTAAAGAAACAAATCCTTACCTTTATGCTGCACATGCATCATAAAGGTTTCAGGCACCTGACCTTTTCAACATAAAAAATACTAATCAATATATTTCACAATAATATATCTATGTGTAACCAAAAAGGTATATAAACTGTAAACTGCATGTAATGTTTGAGAAAGCATAGTATATTTCAAACATACTCTTAGACTCCTCATGCTTATGTTAGTGAAAATGTAAGACACACTTATTAATATGCAGGGGTGAATCTAGGATTTTTTTATGTGGGGGCATAAGAGGCTCCATAATTCATAATTTAATCATTAGCCAATCAAATGTTTTGAATCAGTGAGTGACAAGGAAGGGAGCACTGCAGGGGCCAATCAGCTTTCAGCTGGGGTCAGTGCCCCTGTGGCCTCATCCCTTTATACGCCACCATGGATATGGATGTTATCTTGATGGCTCACTTGTGCAGTTGGGTCTCTGGTGCAGGACGGAGGTCCCACTGACCAGCTTCCCGTCTGGAGTCGAGCACCAGCAGTATCCCGTCTGGCTGTGACACTGTACCTGAGAGGAACCCAGACAAACTTTAGCTAGATCAGGGTTATTCAAATCACGGTCCTCGAGGTCTGAGCACTGCTGGTTTTCCAGCCTTCCTTTACCTGTCAGTCAGGTGTGAAGCATCTGACCAATCAGAATCAGCAATTATTAAACTAACTACCTGGGAGAACTGAAAACAAGGCCTGGATTTGGAATCGAGGGCCAGATTTGAAGAACCCTGAGCTAGATAGTCCAACTCTGGGCACCTTCTGTTTGTAGAAGTTTTACTTACACAAAAAATGTTCTGAGGGCAGAAGGAAAAAATGATTGGTTCAGAGCAATAACCAAACAGACTGCAGAGGAGTTGGGTTCAAGCATCTGATTGGTTGGTCCCGCCTCCTCTAGTTGCTTAAACTCACCTCCTCTACAATCTGATTGGTTCTCTCTCTGAACCAATCATTTTTCCTTCTGCTCTCAGAACATTTTTGCGTAAGTAAAACTCCGATGAGCCCTGCTCTCATTCTGCCCCTAGAAAGAACTGAGGGTCAGTACCTGAAGGTAAGTACCCTCTTCGGAGCATTCTGGGACGAAGAAGGTGGTCGTGTTGCTGCTGGTCACTGACTCCAAAGCCTTATCTCGAGCAAGCTGGCATTTAGACTTGACCTGATCTGTGGGATAGAGAAGAATCCCTGCCCAGCTCCAATGACCAGCCTTTTGATATATATTACATGCCCCTCTCTCCTGTCTTTCTTCTCTCTCACTTTAAGACATACATGAAGTAAAAACAAGCTACAGTAGCGTAATTCAGCTGGCCCTGCTCTGCTTGTTCCTGCTTTCCATCCTTCCCGATGGCTCTACAATCCATCTTCGCTGTTTACTTGCAAATCTCCTTTCCCACATTCATTATAATTCAAATTCAAAATGATTCATTGTGATGCAATTCATCTTGCCGCGAAATGTCAGAGCTGCGCATTTTTCCTCACGTTATCCATTACGTAGCACACACACACACACACACCTTTCGTTCTTTCAGGTTCCCTGGCAGCTGCGCAGTGGGCATGGGGTGCTTTTTTCAGCTGCAAATTGCCGCACTGGGCTCTCTGGAAGGCACACTGCGACTTGTACAGCTGGCCATTGCTGCCGCAGACGGCCCGATGGCGTCCCCTGGCACAGTTCAGCACGCAGCCGTGCGGCCACATGCTTTCCGAGATTAGTAACTGTCAGAGAAAAGCGGCATAAATAAAGCTTAGAGCCATATTATTCACAGTGACCACAAACGTTAGCATTTGTGCTGGCCGGATGTCAACAGAACCTGTACATTCTAGAACTTGTCCTGGACATTTATTCTTCTGGAGGCGCTCGGCATCAGGTTGAAAGATAGAAAACGACTGAAAAAGTGACAATGCAAAAAGGTGCCCCCTGTAAATGCCACTTTCGGAAAGGTTAGCTAGCTAGAAGATTTTGGTGTTTGTGGAAGGTCATCCATGCTTGGTATTCAGTTCATGTAATTCTGTGAGTAAACAGGGTTTACACAAGGCTACAGAAAATGTGAGCTGTGTTTGTGTGATTAAGTGTATATGTGTACTGGCTCTTCACACCCTCAGCAGTTACAGGACCTGGTTTGGCTAACTGCTCTGCAAATACACCGAGCTGAACGAGGGGAGCGATTGCTACTCTGAAGAAGTGAAGGAGCAACTCTGCATTCCTGAGAGCGTGTGGAATGATTAGAGCCTCCTACAAGCTGAAGGGGTGATTACATACTAATACCTGTGGTAATGATTACACTCTCCTATAAACTGAATAAGTGATTATTCACTAAGACATGAAAGAATTATTACACACTACTCTGTAAGACCTGAGGGAGCAACCAAACACATTTAAAACCTCACTTAAGTGCTCCTGAGTGGGAGGTCAATCTGGAATTGGCCCATTTTTTTAAATAAATAAGAATTTGCCCATTTAAAAAAATAATTTCCCTGGTACCAAATCTTTAAATCTGCAATGCTGCGTTGACATTTAGTCTTGTTTTTGCATGAGGAGCCCTACATATAGCCCTATCAATTACTGTTACTTGTGTCTTGTGGATGTGTAAGCATCATGTAACATTTAAACCAGCATCGTAATGCACTGCCTGGTCTGTTAGCTGTTGTGGTAACACAAGAAAAGTAAAATAATGTCCGTGGGTCCCTGATGCAGTTTTTCCTGTTTCCCTACAGTACGTTTGAGTAAGTCATCAAATAACCTGTGTAGAAATACAAAGCAGATACAAAGAGGACGCATGTGACCCACATTCATGTCAAGTGATGCTAATGCACAGAGCTTCTCAAAGCAAACTAATTAACACTTATTACAAAAAGTTGTACATGTGCCTTAGGAAAAGCCGTTCCTTCACAGAGAGCTAATGGATTGTGAATTTGAGTTGAATTTGAGTTAAAATAAAACAGAGACCACTATAATATCTCACTATACTTAGAGTACCACAAAATGTAAAGGGTCAAGACAATAATGCATGAGGAAGAAGGAGCAATGTTAACAAAAAAGAGACTTGATCATGGAGTAAACTGTTTTAAAATCAACTTAAAATCAATTAAAACTTTCAGAAGTGAGGGAACGTGGCTCTACGTTCGCTGCGATTTTCCATAGTGCAGCTGTAAGATTTTCAGGTTTTGTGCCAGGAAAATCAGCATGTCTGCATTTTTCAGCAGTAACGTTTTGCTGACAATATATCCAGCCTTGAGGGGAAAAAATGCTAATTTAAAGTGCTGTGAATGTGACTCAATATTTATCATTCTCTATTTTTAAATACGCGGACCAGTCATCTTTCTGATTTTCAGGTGTTTCTGTGCTATATGTAGAATAGCTATTAAAAAACACAACAAGCTTCATTCCAGTTACGGTACAGAATGGAAGAATATTGCAGGGTGTTCTGGATTCCATTCTTAATGCTACAAATGAGTCTCATTGTGAAGCAGATGTATCAATGTAGTTTGGCCTTTCATTTGCCAGTCAAGGCTAAAAACTGTATATTCATGAATAATACATTGTAAATATTTCCTATTATGGGTTAAAACAGTTTTGTGACTTTGATTAATACTTTGTAAATAACTGTTGACAGCAACAGCAGTTAGGGTACTGTGCCGGTGATTGGAAGGTCGCCAGTTCAAATCCCTTTGTCAGCAGAGTGATGTCACTGTCCGGCTCCTGAGTAAGGCCCTTAATCCACATTTGCTACAGGGACTGTCTGACCTGCCCTTCTCAATACTATGTTGCCTTGGCTGCTCAGTTCTAAAAATGTAATGAAATAAAGGTACAGAAGGGGGCCTTGGGTTACGACACATTAACGTTCCTACGACAATGACGTAAGTCGAAACACACCCTTTTTCCGATCTAATTTCACTTCCATCGTGATGGCTTTCCTCTTCACGAACAGAACACTTGCGCTTTTAACAGTCCAAAATGGCGTAGGTAAGCGTAATGAGGGACGCCAACTCCGCATTACTGCGTATTCTTCTGCCACACACAACCAAACTAGTTCACCCACTCAGTTCGTGAGTACAATGCTAAGAGCATTAGCGTAAAAAAAAAACTCACGTCTCAATTTTTAAAAGTTCTTATGGGAGTGAGCGTCGTAAACTCGAAACGTCGAATGTCGAGTCATCTTAACCCGCGGACCCCCTGTATTAGTACAGGACAGCTATTGTACTGCAATTGTGATGTAACTCAACCAGCAGAGTGTTACACTAACAATGCAAAGGTTGTTGGTTCAAATTCCAGGGAGCACACATAAAAATTGTAACCTTTCCTATAAGTTGCTTTGGATAAAATCATCAGATAAATTAATTAAATGTACTCCTTCCAAATGCAATACTGCTTGTCCAGTACTGGACTGGGTTTATCCTAGAGCCTAATTATTACATGTGTTGTTCAAATATATTAATTGGTATATTAAGGCAGTTGATTGGTATATTCAAAATCAGTGAATTCACCATTTATGCTTTTCATTTAATGTGCCAGATTGGCTGTGCTTCTCAGTCCGTTGTGTGGGGTAGCCCGCAGACATTTTAAAATGCAATCACACACTTCTTAAAATAAGTCCCTTAAATGGAATGCTAGACAGGGTAAGCAGGCAACTGGCATGCAGCAACTAAATAGGAAAAAGAGGATTTAATATTCTGCTAAGAGAGCACATATCTGACACGACGTCCACCGTAACGTCAGTGTGATGCCCTTCCTCTGCATAATATCTGTGCCATGGTTTAATCTGTCTGCTTTATTCAGTGTGTGCCTGAAACCCCTGCCGATTATTCTGCTTTTAATGAATTTCACATTCCCTAAAGATAGGGTGATTATATTGATTTTTTTTTTTTATTTGGACTCAACAAAGCTTAAGCTTAGTAAACAAAGTCTATTTTAGGTTTAGCTTGGCCATTCCATACTCTTTTAATCTGATAATTGAAAGCATATTTAATGAACTTGTTTACTGTAATTACAACAGCCCTCCTGTAAATAAAGAGAACCATCTCCTGTATAGGCAAATATTTAGATGATTTAAAAATGTAAGGAAAACAGATATCGCACTCTTAATGTGTTCAGAGAAGTTTATCCTGTTACGTGTCTGTAATAAAAACAGAACAGTGACACGAAAGACTGTTTAAATCACTGCCGAATCTCTGTGCTGCTTACTGTCAAGTCTGTTGTTCAAGACTAACTCAAAAGGCTGCCAAATTTCTTAGAAAAAAGGTCATTTTTAGCTCATGGAGACAAGGCATTATATAAGATTTGCAAATATCTGTGCCAGACTTGCCTATTAAATTTGTCAGATAGTAAATTAAACTGTTACTCTCTGGTTCAGAATTTCATTATAGGTAAGAAGGCGAAGTGTGGGGGGGGGCGATTTATGGAATTTCATATCACACTTCTGAAAAATAAAACCATAGAAACTTAACACCTTATAAACCTTATACCCTTCCATTAAATATGTCAATGCCCCCCCAACCACTCGCCCCTCAGGAATGAGGCTTGCTCAAGTCCCAGCAGAGGTCTTCACTTTCATACACTTACATAACGAAGCCTTCTTAACCTAAACTGATTTTCAGCAAAAAATAAGAAATAGAAAGTTCAGCTATAAAGGGAGAGTGAACTGTAAAATGTACGTCTTTTGGGGAAAAAACATTTGCCAAGAAATACCCAGAGTAATTACTGTGCATTCCAGTATCAGCTTCATAAAATTATACATGCAAGTACTCAGTTCTTAAAAGCATTATATGCAGCCCAAGCACTGTAATAAATGCAATGTTGTTGCATCTATGTCACTGTACCTGTCCTCCTATATTCTTCAGACAGATGCATGATGCTTTCTTGAGGAAAAAGTGTAATGCTATAACCTGAATTGTTATTATATGCTTTATACCACACACCTGATTTAATGACACTCCGTCACACATAAACACGAACATCCTCACTCAATATTCCGCTAATACCTCGTTCTCTGCTTTTGTTGCTTGGAACACATGTATACCTGTCCTCAAGGAATTTATCTTTAATACCCATTTGTCTCCTTTCCACTCTCTGTCACGATTCAGCGAGTTTAGCAGAACTCGCAGAACATTAACACTGATCAGCTGGTACAGCTCGGTGTCAGACAATTAAAAAAAGCCGAGATATTTAGGGGAGGGCCATTTTATTAGCTGTGCTCAGTGACTCATTGTTTCGAAGTGGCGGGGAGGCCACGCTGTGCTCAGTAGCTCGTTATGTCAGTGCCAGAAGGCATGAAAGAGTGTTCAGCATCTCTTCGTATTATAATGCCAGGGAGCATTGTGCGCGGTAGCTTTCTGTGGGCGCCCGCCAAAACGTGTAAGCTTTCAGTAGCTCAGTTTGTCAGCATGCCGAGCTGGTCCGTGTAATGCGTCTCTGTGCTCACAGATTTCAGGCCGCAGTGTGTTCAGTGGTTCATTGTCGGAGTCAAGGACTGCAGTGTTTTCAGAGACCCACAGGTTAGACTGACTGATTTTATAACGACATGTGAGAATATAAATATGTTTAAAGAGAGAAGGTTGGGGTGATGAAATATGGTGTTTGGCCAGAGACTCTGCAAAGCTGCTGAAAAGTACTGCATATTTGGACTGTAACATATTTCTGGCCGATTATTTTATGAACCACCCCCCCCCCCTCAAATACCGCTGGGGGCGTTGAATCCATTGCCTGTGAAACGTACTGTCGTTAATTATCGTGCTATATCACCTAACACCGAGTGCTGAAAAACCCCACCATTGCCCGAAAGCTTACAAGCCCCCCCTAGAAAACACACACACGCGTAACACAAACAGGTGCAGCCTGCCATGACAGCATCTTTGCTACCGGGATAAAATAAATATATGACAAGGTTTCACCCACAAACACACACTCGCCTGTTTTCCCAGGGGAAAGGAAAATTGTATTAAATATTTGCTTCTATTTACTCCCTGCGGTCGGGGCTGCTTGGCCGGTGTTTGCCTTTGGTTTGCAGACCTCCCTTGGGGGGCCGTGTGCTTGACAGCCACTCACAGATCTCTCGCTTGAGGGGGTACTTAGCGGACATTGTACCGGGGCCATTACAATGGGAAGTGTTGTGTGTCAGTTTGCTGCATCCGACAGACTGAAGTGCCACCGAGCCACTGGATTTCAACCACGACCACGACATTCAAGTGACAGCAGTGACAGCAGCCGCGCACTTTCATCACATCATAACAATGAGTACCACGGTGCTTGAGAACAACTCTATAAAGGTTAAATGGAGCTAAAATCTCTAAACTAAAAAACAATGACAATAAAAACAGCCACAGCCAGGTTATACAACTATAAGGGTAGATAAAAGTATATAACTTTTGCAGTTACAAAAATATGGATAGGTGTTTGAACAAAATAGAAATGCACTTAGTATACGCTTTGCTTAAAACTTGTGACTACTGAAATCGGGTGTCCATATAGCCTGCTGAATATTTATACTACTACTACAATAACAATAAAATAGATGATGGATTTCTTACCGATGACTTGTCTGCCATTAGAGGAGAAGCGGAGATCACGATGAGAAGCAGCAGAAGACCGCAGATCTTGCGAGCCAGCATGCTCAAAGGTCCGCTCAGTCCACTCTTGCTCGATGCCTATTAATTGCCTAAAGGGTCTAATTAGGAGGGTGGGGGGGGGGCTGCGATCCTGGGCGGACCGACACCGCGCGGCTGGTCGAGCTGCGCTCAGGAACGGATTAGCCACCAAATATCTGACGACACCCTTGTTCTACAAAAGATGAACAGTAAAGGCAACCTGAAGTAGGCAAGCAGGGTGTCTTATACCATATTCGTAACGATGCCCAGGGCGCGCTACCAGCGAACAGTGTGGTCTTAAGGTCTAGAAACTGCATGACCAGTTATTATATAGTTATAGCCAACATAGGCACTGTTATAACAGAAGCATTTCTCCTATTCCGTTGTTTTTATTATTATTTATTTTTTTTACCAACTTTTCCTATAGTTTCACCTCTTCTCGATGTCCGTCTTCATTCCTCTTTTTTATTGATCCTCCACGCGCCGCTTTGAGCCGTTTTATTTATCCATTAATCAGTTCAATCTTTTTCAAAATATTTTGAATTACTTTTCCTGTTCATCGTTCAGAGGCACGGGACTAAATTTTAAGCAAACATTATAAAATTGTATTCATTCTTAAAATACTGGATATAATCACTTTTTGAAGCTTATTTACTCGTTTTTAGCGCAGATCGTGTGTGACAACGAGTAAAACATTAATCTTTGATACTCTAAAATGTAAACCAGCAGGCCATTCAAAATTGCTATTTTTCTTCAATTTATTCACAATTAAATATATGAATGATTCAATGTAAATGAAAGATCCTGAGTTAACTATGTTGAAATTATACGTAGGCCTACATTATATCATTAATTCAATCGTCCCAATACACGACAAGACGTTCAGTTTTACTTTGGCTCCAGAATTTCAAATTCCTTAGAAAAGCTGTTTGAAGTGCTAAAACCGATTTACTTCCTTGCAGATTTACTTAAAATGGCTCTTTGTCTCCATCCAGTGGCCGATAAGGATCCATTACAAAATTTCAGTGTCCCGTGTAGAGGTTATGGTAAGCTCATGCAGCAGCATGGAGGGGCGGGATACTACGGCACCACACGGGACCAAGCGGCGATACAAATGTCATGGTATGGGATGCTGGTCCATTGCAGGGCAATGCCAGTCTAAAGGTGAGGTGTCAGGTGGCCATGAGTTAGAATGATGTCACAGGGTTAAATTTGCTGATCCATCAGGTAAATACTGGGAGTACTTAGAATTCTATTTAAATCCCCCCATTGCTGTCAGTACTTGCATTTAAACACAAAACAGCACATATTGCATTGATTTATATAAAGGAGCCGACATTCACGAAAGAACATTAAATGTTTATGCAAGCATACATGTGAAAAGCAAACGCATAAGTGTCACATCTCTGCAGTTAAACTGGGTCATTTCACGAAAAGTAACCCTGTAACTCAACCGCAGTGCATTACTGTCATTAATATCACTTAACAGTGTCACACAGGTTCACTCCTGAAGTCCAAGGACTTGCAGTTAGTGTATAACTCTGTGTGTGTGTGCCCTGTGTGTGTGTGCCCTGCGATGGACGGGCATCCTGCCCAGGATCCACATCAGCCTCATGCCCTGTGCTACCAGGGATGGGGCCCCGGGGGTCTGGGGCCCCTGAGCGATACGGGCAGCAGGAATTTGGATGGTTTTCTGAAGAGAGCTATGAAATAGATCATATGAACAAAGTTCTACTATTTCATACAATTTTATATAATTATGCATCATAAAATTGGTGACCATTCCAGGTGGCACTCAGGCCAAAAGGTAGGCGTCCCATTTGGGGGGGGGAGATGCCCATCAGCTGTGGAAAGAAATCTGCTCTAATGCCACACATATAGTGTGGGCAGGACTTCCACCCGAAGGCCAGTGCTATTCACACTGGCACCCAGCAGAGCGCACCATACAGCCTGACACACCATGTTGTGAACTGCACTAAAGCATACGGGCCTCTATATTCAGTTTGCAGATATTTATTCTGTTCTGAATAACCAAGAGCATTACCCCAACATTATATATGCTGCTGACGTGCATCTATAATATGTTGCAGCATAATGTGCAGTAAAATTCAACCATCTGTGATGACAATCAAGCCATTTACCATAATTTCACAAAATCACTGCGAAACGTGAAACCCGCACATCCCCAATTTACTGCCAAGTGGCTTTTCATCCATTTCTCTCTTTGCCTAATCACTGAACCTGGATCGTGCCTTAACAGTCACGTAGTACGTATGTGTACACAAACTTTTCAGGTTTTTACTCCATACTTACTAGGTCTACCTTAGACATGCTTCCTGGAGCATTTACAAATAAAGGATCCCTGATTCAACCATCTTTCTTCCACAAGACCTTTAATTAAAGACTACAGGATCGTGATTTTGGTGTAGGAAAAGATTTATTAGTTTATTACTACCGAAAGTCCTCGAGAGGCAGGTTTTGTGTGATTACCGAGCATCAGAAGTATTGGCAACGCAGATTACTCTTAATAATAATAATAATAATAATAATAATAATAATAATAATAAAAACATCTTCACACTTTGGGATCTTACTCTCTGTTTCCACACACATGATAACTTCCTCAAATTAGTTAACGGAATCTGTTAAAACTATGATCAGCACCCGAAATACGAACTACATGCATACGTCATACCGGCAAGGTCTGCAAATAAAGGAGAGACACTCACACATGCACACAAAGGGGAGCGGGGGGGTGAAAAAAAAAAAATGGTCAAGCAGTAATATTTGAAGGTAATTTTATGTGTGCACATATTCCACATTTGAGATGCTGTTGCATTTTCCAGTACAGCAGATAAGGTTTGATATTGAAGAAAAAGAAAAAAAAAATCCAAACAAAAAAATATTAAGCTTTTGGTCCAAGACATTTCAGTTAATGCCCAGAGCCGCCCCCCGCCCCTCCCCCCCCAACAGGAACATACCCTCACCCAGCATCACCGTTTTACAAAATATCGTAGGAATCAATCTCTGGTATTCCGTCTGCTCGACTGTCTAAGCAGACATTTGCCTTCCCTCAGTTTACATGAACTTAAGTGATACAGAATATAGATTACGAACTAAAAACTGATTGCATAGATTGAAAACGGTAATTTCCATAATATTAATACATAATGGAATGTATAGAAAAAGTCGTTCACACCCCTGGCCCTCGCACCCAGTGCTGGGTCCCTTTTGCCACAGAGAAATGGAGCTGAAGAAAGAGGGGGTGACAAAGACAGAGGATCTGTAGCTACAGAAAAGTACCCCCCACCCCCCAATTTTCACAATTTATTCCGTTACATCTTAAAATAAGCCCAATGCTGGAAATAACATTGTACAGCATGTTTAAATGCACTGAATGACTAGAAAAGGTCCAATGGTGATTCTTTGGGATGGGAATTCAAACCTATCTACAGTACTGGGGTTTTGTGAAACCTTTCACAACTACATGTTCATTCCGAAGCCCTATAAGCATTTTTTTTGTATACTGGAAAATAAGTATGTACAGCACTGAACCCATTAAAGTCATATTTGCTGGAGATAGTATGAAAGTAGGTTATAGATTTCCAAGCTCCGCTTACCCAGCAAAATGGTTAAAGAGAATAAGGATATTTTTTCTGTTCAAGCTCTCCTCCATTCTCTGTGCAATACATTATGTATACTTCAATAAATCTCACCCCTCTCTCTGGCCTCCAACCCAATCTACCTTTGGGGGTTAAAAGAAAAAAAAAAAAAAACATTTTGGTGGGAATCAGAAAGAAGAGTCACCCCGCCCCCTCCCAGAGGTGGGGGGTATGGCAGGTTCTGCTCCCTGAAACCTACACATCTGAACCCAGATAGGATGTAACGCTCCGTGTAATGCAATCCCGATCGCTCCGACCCAGTAAGCCTGTATCTTCCCCGCTGTCTCTCTCGCTGACCCCCCCCCCCGACCCTCGCCTCTCTCTCTATCCTCAGAGGTCACTCTCGCCATACAGGGCGGTGGAGAAGGACATGTAGTCGAGGGCCCCCGGAATGGCGTCGGGGCCGCTGTAGGGGACCATGCGAGCGATGCAGTAGTCCGCCTGGTCGTGGGGCAGCTCTCGCCGCAGCTCTTCTGCTGTGATGTAGTTCTGTGCGGAGAGCGAGGGGGGGGGGGGGACGTCGCAGAGTCAGAGGAGAGAACCCAACGCACAAACCCCGAAGGACCCTGAACGCTTCAAAGACTAAACACAGCTGGCCGTTTCAAACCACATTATAATAACCGACATGAACTCAAATGGTCTGGTTGTAAGTTGGCTTCAGTTCAGAGATTAAAATAAATAAAAACAAACACAAATAATTACAGAAAATATTTAATTATAATAACTAGATAAATCTCGGCCCTCCCCCCACTGGTCAACAAACTAAAAAAAAAAACAAACTATGTGGCAAGATTTTACGCAAGATTTTAAGATAAATTTGATGAGAAGCATTTAAAATATGCATTTGTGTATTCAAATAGGTTTAACTATGTTACCAGGAGCTCACACTACACTGTAGTCCGTTAGCAAGATACGTCACCCTTGACCCTTGAGGTGCTGCCTACCTTGTCTCCTGCCAGGATCTTGAAGGAGGCGATGACCTGGTCGGCCGTGTCCGTGTCTGTGGTCTCCCGGGACATGAAGTCAATGAAGGCCTGGAACGTCACAGCCCCACTGTTGTTGGGGTCCACGATGCCCATGATGCGTGCAAACTCGGCATCCCCCTGGGACAAGAGAGAGGTCAACCGAAGGGCCTGGAGGCCTGGAGGGGGGGGGGGCATATCCTCATTGATGGTATTTACTTAAAAATGCAAGATCTCGTACTGGAAAGTCAATACAGGCAGTTTTCGACTGACAAGTAATCTGTTCTACTTCCCCGTTCAAAAGACGAATCTCACGCATGTTGGATTTATCTTCCCAAATCGTCCAAGACACCATACAGCGAAAAATACGCAAGCCAAAAATATACTAGTAATACACACTGAAGAACAAATTAAATTACCGAAAACAAAGCCTAAACTTACTCAGATTTACTTACCTTACTGCTTCCGCATTATGCTAATACAAAGGGTTATGGGTTCAAATCGCGCGAAGCACACAAATAGTAACCCTTCCCTCTTCTGTAAGTCGCTTTGAATAAAATCAGTAGATAAGTGATTATAAACATAAATAAGTATTGTGCTGATTTTTTGTACCTATTTACTTAAGTCGGTTTTATGCAAGTCGAAAGCTGCCTGTACTGCTGGACTTTATAGATGAAAGAAATATTGCTATATACTACTTTTAATGTGTTGGACGGCCAAATGCAATGATTATATTTTGTTGTGCGGGACTGCGTGATGTGGGCAGCGACACAGTGACAGAGACGGGCAGGACGGATAGGGAGAGGAGAGGCCCGCAAGCAGAGCAGAGAGCAGAGGGTGAGCATACCAGGCTGTTTCCCGTGGAAATGAGCAGAGCGCGGAAATCATCGCTGTCCATCATCCCTGTGCGCTTCTGTACCCGTCAAGGGGGGGTGGGGAGGGGGGGGTGTGTGTGCAGGAGAAGGAAGGAAGGGGGGGCATGGCCATTGTGTGGCAGGGAGGAGAAGATTGAAGAGAGGAAACAGAAAATAAAGAGAGGACAGGTGACGAGGGAGGAAAATATAGAAATGGGCGTGACGAAAACAAAGATAAGTGAAGAGAAGCAAAATAAATGTGCAGGAGGGACAAAAAGAACGGAAGAAAGGAAAAAGCAGAAGTTAAAAGCATCCAAAATACCAAAGCGATAAAGCGGTTATATGAGCTGGAGGCAGGACAGTGCAGAGAGAGGCTGAGGCCAAGAGAGGAACCTTATGGGATCTGAAGGCCTCTCATACCTGCTTGTCATTATCCACGTCGTACCCCAGGCTGATCAGACAGGCCTTGAACTCCTCCGCTACCAGAGTACCACTGTGATCCTGTGATTTGAATCAGCCAATGGCGGCATAGAGCCAAGCAGTGGGGCGGGCGGGGTTTGACCAATCGCGGCACGAGTAACAGTGAGGTGGTTTTGGGCCGCCGGATGGTGATGGATCCACAGCATGCAGGAGTTCACAGTATGGGGTGAAAGGGGGACAGACAATGGATGTGAGATGGTATCCTGTGTAAAACTGAACACTAGAGACAAGACTGAGAAGCGTGGACTATAATGCCAACTATGATGGTGACGAACAGAACTGGAGGGAACTTAAAATATACTGCAGAGGGGTCAGCTTCCTCCAAACACAAGCCCAAAAATCATTTGCTGGATTTATGGATATCAGTCTATGTTAATGGTTTCTGTCATTATTGCACTCAACAATGGGCATGGCAGGGGAGATGATGAGATGTGATTGGCTGAGAGGGACCATGAGGATAAACAGTGCACTCCAGTGCTTGTATGCTAAAATGGATGTGCATTAACTTGATCAGCCCTGATACAAACACAGCTAATTCTAGCTGAGACAGTGGATCTTTAACCATGACATCTGCACCCACTGATCCATCTCCCTGCAAACCTCAGATTCTCACGATTCAAACCGCCAGTGCAGTCTAACACAACTCTGCCGCCGGGGCCCTGACCTTGTCGAAGTGGTTGAAGGAAGCCCGGTACTCGTGCAGCTGTTCCTGGCTGATGCCCTTGGCGTCCCGGGTGAGAATCTGGTTCTCGATCTCGTTGATGGTGCGGGCGATGGTGGTGAGAAGCTGCTCCCAGCCCACGCGCAGGTGCTGCAATATAAAGGTGAAAAGGTTACCTGGGAGACGGACGTGAACGGGGGCAGAATTACCACGCGAGGGAGGCGACTCCACAAGGGTGGAAGGGAACAACACACACACACACGGGTCTGTAATTATATCTTTGTGGGGACTCTCCATTCATTTCTATGGGGAAAAATCTAACCCCAACATGCCGACCTTAAACCCCAACCCAGCCCTGACTTTTGGCATTTTTAGTTTTTTGATTGCATTCACAGATCTTTGTGGGGACCTGAAAAATGGTCCCCGCAACGTCAAAATAACAGGGTTTTATTATATTGCGGGGGGGAATTTGGTCCCCACAATGCAATATAAACCTAATACACACACACATACACACAGAATGAGCGACCAATGGCATCATGTGACTGTACGCCAAATGGTCTTTAAAAAATTGCAGGAATCGACTGTGACGACACGCCAGTACCTCCATGGTGTAGGTGGTGTATTTGTTGTCAAAGATGAGGGCCTCCTGGATCAGCTCGTGATTACTCTCCAGCTGATCAATGTTGGGCTTGTACTCGATAATACTCTGCTCATACTGCCTCAGGTGAGTCAGCTGGTCCTCCAGAGTCCCGTTCATCTCAATGGATATCCGCCCGATCTCCTGCGGACCGAGACACGCAAGGTTACACAGCAGCTCTGTAAACACAATCGCATCCCAAAACATCTTAAAGCCTGTCAAAGGACTCCAGACATCTTACATATACATCTTGAAAAAACTATTCACAATCAAGATCTGGGCAGAACTGGAAAATGTAGACTGTGGGAACCATTTACAAAAATAGACAGGGATGACATACTCCGAGAAAAGATAATGAACTTAGCAAAGTTCGTCCATCTAATAGCGTAATACACAGGTATCCGTCAACTTGTGTTCTATCGAGTAACGTCCGATCGCATTTATGTAAGTATTAGTAAGTACACTGATGGGAAGATGCCTAAAAGCAGATGTAGTACAATGTTAGCAGGTGTTTCGCTTAGTGTGACAGGTGCAGGAGAACGAGCAGCACTGCCAGCCGTATAAATGATCCACTGTCCATATCTGACTTGTAATAGAGTACTCATACAGTACTCATACAGTAATGTATGTGATGGACAGCTACAATAAGTAGGCGCGATACAGATACAGTAACTGTACTGCAAAATTTCCTTACATAAACATACCGTACAATTAAATATTACGCTGCAGCTTCACATACCTATTGTTCACCATCACGTGCATCTGTTGATTGTGCAGTGCGCCTCGTGCTTGATTTCCCATGAAATTTAGACCCTTTTTATAAAGCGCCGTGATTTTATATTTACTTTATTTACAGTAGAGTACTGTGTGTATATTACGGTAACGTACTTAACGCCTTGCTCCCCGATAACTATTACGATACGCCCAAATTGACTTGCGTCCGGCGGTGCTGGTCGCAAAACACAGACGCGAGGGTCAACAGATACCTGTGTTTCAAAGTGAGATATACAAATGCGGGCACCAATCACCGACCTCCATCTTGTTTTGTATCCAAGGCCCCACAATGTTGGCCTGGTTGGCGAACTGGCGCCGGAGGTGGTCGTTGGACTGCTGCCGTTCCAGCTCCTCCTGCAGCGCCTGGTCGCGCTGAGGTACCAGCTGTCGGACCTGGAGAGGGAACCGGGACAATAGGGAGTCTTGGTAAAGATACTTCTGCTATTAACCAACGGGGATCTCAGAGCTCTGACGCCCCACCCAGCTTAATCACCCCCCCTGTACCTTATCCCACTTGCTGTCGATGCTCTCCGGAGTAATGCTGGTGTAGGGGTTGCTTCCACTCAGTTTGATGCCGTTATACTGGGCAATGTTCTGCACCTCCTTCTGGATGGCCTGGATGGCTTCTCGCTCCTTGTTTGCTTCTGGGAGGGTGGACTTGAACTGCTCATGGGCTGTGATGAGACCCTAGAGAAGGGAAAAGGCAAGGCGGAGGGCTTATTTAAAGACTTAAAGGGCGTGAGTCAATACTGACATGGATCTCTGTGCTCATATTGCTGATCCATAAAACTTATTGCTACAGTTATAATTAAAACAGCTTATACACTATACAGGACTACTGATCACATTTAAAAAACTTGGATAGAACTTAACATTATAAAGTGGGAAGCTTCTCTTTTTTTTTTGCTCTCCAGTTTTGTTTCCACGGAAACCCCCTCTTACCTGGATCTCCTCAATGTTGTGCACAATGAACATGTCCTGCAGGTCCTCCATGGCGCCCTCCATCCAGTTGTTGAATGGCGCCGCCCTCTTGGCGTACTCCAGGTACAACTCGTCGATGGACTCCAACTGCTTCTCAGTCCTCTGCAAAGTGACCGTAAGGGGTGTCGAGATCCGACATGGTGACAGTGGCATTTTAAAACTGACCAAAGCAGAAAGTAGAAAGTTCAGGCCTGTGACGCTATTTAGAGCGGAGAACGAGGCAGAGAGATTCAGAAAAGGAGGGCACTGCGGATGGGACTCACCTCCAGCGACTCCCTGCGGCTCTGAGTCAGAGAGCCCAGGGAGTCCCACTGCTCACAGATCTTCTGGCAGCGAGCGTTCACATTCGGGGAATCATAGTAGTCCAGTTCACTTCAGAAAGAGTGGGAGGGGGACAGTAAGACACAGGAGTACCGTACGAAAGTCTTGGGCGGTTCTCCAAAAAGTTACGGCGTGACTAGAACAATGTTTCGGCTCCCAATTCTCTCCTCAGGGCCACCTGAGCTATTCCATGCGTTCATTAAATTTCAGCAGCAGCGCAATTAATTAACTTACGGGAAAACACTGTTCTATACACATGCAACTTTCTCAGCATAAAAAGTAGGCGCTCATTTCTCATACAAACAGCACCCCCCCCTTCTTGGTCACCCCTCCTGCCCCCATACTCCGCCACATGACCTCTTACGCATCCCTTACTTAAGCTCCTGGGCGATGGCGGCGATCTGCTCCACGCGGTCCTGGTGGGCAGCCAAGTCGCTTTCGAAAGCCTCGTGCTTCTTCAGCAGGGCCTTGACCTCCGACAGGGAGGCGGTCTCGTAGTCCTTCTGTGTCAGCATGGATTCTTTTCCTGCAGGGAAGGAGGCCAGCAGGAGTCAGAGGGAGGTAACAGGCTCGGGCCGAGAGCAAGGAAAAGGGGGAACGGCGCCAGGAGCACCTGCGGTCCAGCCCTCGTGGATGGTGGCTTTCTGCCGGAACTTTTCGGCCAGGTGGTCCAGTCTCTCCAGGCGACGGATCTCATTCAAGAGCCACTCCTCGTAGCCTTTCTCCGCCCCTTCCAGGTGTTGCCATGCGCTATTGATGTCCTGCAAAAAAAGGGGCAGACATCAGCAATTCACGCAGCCAGCTGCCGCCGCCGGCCAATCAGGCACAGGCTGCGTGTACAGGGGCAGGGCCACATGCCCAAGCTGAAAGCTGACTGGCCCTTGGGGTGGCCCCTCCCATCATTCACCAATTCAAAACATCTCATTGGCTAAGGATAAAGCCAGCCCCTCTATGAATAATGGCCTCACCATAAAAAATGTAAAAAATTATATATTTATATATATATTTATTTATATATATTGCATGTTATATATGTGTACACACACACACACACACACACACACACACACACACACATCGAAGAAGCGCTCCTGCTTAGGCCTTCTCACATGTGACCGACTTCAGCTGTAACATGTGACTGGCTTTGGGTTTTCGTCATAAGACATTACGGATAAGGCTGCACTGACACCAAACCTGGAGATAACCATTAATCGCGCAACCTCAAAATTCATACTACATAAATCAAGAAGTAGATCTTAGCAAGTCTGAACCGGTTTCTTGACTATTCAGATACATATAGACTAGGGCTGTAACGATACACCTATTCATTTGTGTTCAGTTCGGTAGGCACAACGAAACGAACACATTTGACACAGACAGAACCGAAATTCACAAGCAGATGTTCAACACGGAAAACAATGATTACTGTGGCTGTGAGTTGCTTACGGCAAATGCTGGTTAGTCAGTCAGTTATAATCGGCAGCTTGAGAACATTTTGGTTACCCAGTGAAGTACATCAGCACCGGGGAGACAGTAGATAAGACCAAGGGCGCGTTTCCACTGCATTGTGTTTCAGGGGAAGGCTATTTGCAGAACCACTCGACAATGAAGACGTTCGCAAGGCCAACCCCAAAGCACTGACGTACCAAAAAAGTACCCCAGCTGGTTGGGTGCTTTAGGTACTGGGTCGATAGTCAATGGAAAAGTCACCAAAGTGTCGTTCCAAATGTAGTTCAGTGGAAAAGTGCCTCAAAACTGTCCATCGGCTTTATTATGCCAAACTCGGATACGTCGTTGTAAATGTGTCCAATGTGCTAAATCATTGGAGATGACATCCAAGCGTATGTGTGACCGGGACGAGGCAGAAACTGCCTTTGCAAGTTAGTCTCCCCGTGACATTTAAGGCGCTTTTGTCACAAAATTCAGACCGGGCTAAAAAAAAAAAATGACGACACCTATAGCAGTTTATTGCTAGAGGTATGCAAACAAATTCGGTAGTAAAGTACGTAGGATTTACGTCATTATGATTGTTATCATGCAATCATTTAAAACTCTTTATTTTACATATTTATTTTTACAATGTGCAAATAAGTGTCCCCATATACGCTGATATCAGACGCATCGCCTTTGGTTTACAGTTGTTCGACTGTATCTGTGTTTACAGTTCTAGTAACAATCTAAAAACAAATTCAGTTAAACTGAAATTGAACCGAACCAAAAGCCAAGATTGGTACCGAACTGTGACTGAACACATGTCGGCCTTCTGTCCAACAGAGAAGCACAGCAGTATGATGGAGAAAATGACACAGGAGACGAGAAGGTGTCGCTCACCGAGACCATGCGGCCCTCGGAGGGCATGAAGGCGGGTCGGTTGTTCAGCCTCAGCTTGGTCTGCAGGGTGTTGAAGTTGATCTCCAGCTGACACTTCTCCTGCACCTTGGGCGGCTTGTGAACACGCCGGTAGTCTCGGAAATCCTCCAACTTCTGCTGCATCTCATGCATGGTCTTCTCTGGGGTGCGGTTCTCCAACCAGGGGACGGTGCGACGGATCCACTCCAGGAGCTGGGGGGGTCATGACAGGGAGGAAAAGGACGACATGGAGATGAGAAAAACACACAAACGACCAATAAAGAACAACTGACAACTGAGAGGAAAAAAGCTCCAAACAAACAAGCCAAATATTTTAAAACAGTCATACTTTAGCTGAAGAGGACAAACAACTACCACAGAAAGGACAGAACAAACAAAATACTATAACATTTTATCCAAAGGCTAGTGACTACTTACGTCACTGGCCAGTTTCTCGTAATCCTCCATGAGATGCTCATTCTCTTGGTTGACTGCCAGCACCTTGCAGATTCGATTGGCAGCTGTCTCGGCCTGTCACAGAGAGAGGGTTTAAGCACACAGTAGAGCTATTCTAGAGCTATTTAAGAGTGTGCACACACTTAAAAGTTCAAGGCACTCTGGTGTAGTTTGCATCAGTCAAAGTTTAAGCGAACGTCCGCTATGCTTGCTTGAGTACGTCAATCTATCCTGACCTAAAATACCCACGTTGAAAAGTCAGGCTCAGCATGCAAGACTTATTTTTGAATTCAAATTTAACTGCTTTCCCGTGCAATTAGGTCACGTGGAAATCCTACAATTCCCACAAGTCCCATTTACCGTTAAAGAAGACAGAAAGTAACACTGGAGCAACTACACATGACCAAGCACAAGTTACATGGGTTGTGCACCAGACAGACTTACACCTCCCTCCTACACAAAGCCAGTATTAACCTCCCCTTCAGAGGACCATACCTGAAATTATACTAATCATTCAGGCCCATTTGCTGAACACAGTAGAACAATTGAGAGCACAGACATAAACCCCTTATGAAGGCACACAGCATCACTGTACTGGATACAAGGCTGTTTACAGACGCAATTCACTGCTCACTCAATGGCAGAAGCCGATTACAGATTGTATTTAATCAATGGAGAAATTCCTATGAAGCATCATAAATGAAAAAGGGTCAGGGCTGGTTTATATGTACTGCGGACTCAGACTCGCCAGTTTGAGCGCAAGGCCAGACCGTCCACACCACAAGGTAGGTGGCACTCAACAGAAAAGCTGCTCTTAAGTGTTTTGGATGTTCTACTAAAAATAAATATTCAACAAAAACTGGCATTGCAGTTGCAAGGATGCAGTTTATTGCGGCAATCTGGGAATCTTTATAATCCTGTGGCGAGGATCTCCTAAGTCAGGCTTTCTTCAAATCCGCTAGCCATGTTTGTATTCAGTCTGATCAGAGAGGGTAGGAAAGGTGTTTAAACACAATCTTTGGTGCGATCTCCTTTCTGACTTCCCCTGGCCAGCGAAGGATCAAGGTGCGATTACATTACAGGAAGGACAATACGGCGTTTCAATTTTTGATCGGGACATGCGCGGCCCTCAAATGCGGCCTTGTCGTCTGACCTTTGAGGCAAAAACTGTGTCAGAACAGCTGCAAGCTATGACACGTCTGCAGTAGGTATAAAACAGCCTTTAAATAACTGAACCAGAGCAGAGCAGAGCAGAGCAGAGCAGAGCAGGAGAAGATAGACCAGGCCAGCTATGATGAGCTGCCAGTGAGGCAAAATTGTGTCAAAGCCACTTAACGCGATGTAGTCAGTCACAGCTAGAAAAAAATGGTTTGAAACCTCCCAGCAGTGGTTTCAAGTGAAAAAAACTCACATTTGGCTGTTCTTCTGCTTTAAATTTGGTATATTAGGGTGGCAGATGGTGCTCTTAGATTAACAAAGGTGTCAAAGTTCATTTTTTCTGGATTAATAGTTGCATACTTGTTAAAGCCCAATCCCAAATGCAAAACTTTGCACAAAAATTTTACTCATTCCAATAGACAGACTAATGTGGATGAGGTACAATTAAGAGGTCACAATGACCAGGCAGAAAGAGTCATTTTCCAAATTGTTAATTGATGGAATGCAAAACTTCACAAACAGCAGTACTGAGATCTCACCTGTCTCGACGTGTAGGTGAATATTATTTAATGGAGCAAACACATGTGAAAGACATGCAACACATCATAACATTAAGGGCCAGACGAGCAGAACACGTGACACGGGGCAGTGAACATGCCACAAAGCTACCCAACACGTGAACGCAGGACAAGACGTGCACACACCGCTCTTTATGGATGAGTTTCAAGAGTAACTACATCAACGCCGGCTACAACAAAATGCGAAATCTTTCCAAACGGTTAGTCGTGGCAATGCAAGTGACTGCTCCACACAACCGTGCCTTAAATCCACATGCTTCTCTGGCGAACAAACCGATTTTATACCACATCGTCCAGCTCATCTGGGTTCACACTACGGTACAAACTATCCACTGTAATAAAAACAAAAGACACAGTGAAGAAATGCTTCGTGACAGCTCAATGACAAGCCACAGAGACGAAACGAAGCAGCGAGCGAAACGAGGTGCGGATAGAGAAGGTAGTCAAAGCGGAAAGCTGACGTGCTTTTCCATTGAGACCAAGGCCACCATTGGCACCAGGTGCAAACCAGCCGCAGGTTCAGAGGCGAACGCCACAAGCAAGTCCTCACCTTCTGAGCGCCTGAGAAGGCGTGATAAAAGCAGGAGACATATGTCATGATGGCTTTCTCATCAGGCCGCAGCGTACCCACGATGTCTGCGGCGGCCGGGGGAGGGGAAGCAAGTGTGCGTGGGAGAGAGATAAAAAAAAGGAGAGAGAGAGAGAGAGAGAAAGCAGTGAAGCCAAGCTGCCCCCAGCAGAGAGGACCCCCCTCCCCCGCCACGCCGCATGGGGGTGGAGGGGGGATATGGGAAGAGGGAGATGCCGTCGCCCAGCCAAGTGGCCGTTTGCAGTAAGGGAAGGAAATCCGCTGCAGGATGGTGACTGTCAGTTAGAGAGCGCCCCCTTCAGGGAGGGAGGGGGCAAAGAATACTCTGTGAACCAGGTCACGGTCCCCTCCCTTCCCACAGGACACTTCTGGGCACTACCAGTCCCTGAAAGACTGGGGATGTATAGCTGGTGGCCACGTTTAAGAATCTGCTTTTCGCATAGTAGCTTAAAGACAGATGGCATATTTATTTTCAAATACAGGAAGCCCACACACTGGGCCAACACTACACTGGATCTTTTTCAGGCCTGTAACAGAATACGTTCAACATGTGGCCCTGTACAGACACTACAGTGATGCACGCAAGAATCTTACATTTCGAGGTTTTTTTCCCTCCTATTTGGCAGATTGTTCCCAGCAGTCTAAGCCCTGCGGTGCACTTTTCATCGGTAACACTGCAATGGACGGCAGCCTGAGTTCCTGTATCTAGGTTACCGTTACCGGTAGAAACGGTGTTGGGAGCCACTAGCTCCCCAGCCTCTTGAGCTCGCAAACATCTTAATGAATGAAGCTCTAATCAAGTCTGACCCGTTTCGCTCATCTGCGTCATCAGACATCAGTCAAGACCCTCGCCACTCCACACAGAAACATAACTGCTTCTAGAAGATTCGCCTCGCAAGTCTGCTCCTGGTTCTTCATCAGACCTTCAAGGAAAATGGAGTTTACACCTATAGCCAACTACTCTCATTCCTGCATAATCTTTTAACACTTAAATACAGGCTATCCCCGGGATACGAAAACCACACTTACAGAAAACTCGTCCTTATTAATAAACCGCCATAAAGCCTATTATATTAAGGAAATCGGGTGAACCACAATGGTTTGTAATAACGACCACACCTGCTACTTTGTAACGTGAAAATATTGCGCAGATTTAGACGTAGAGTCCCGTGTTTAGTTACTTTGATTACATTATTGTATTATTATTAGTGTTATTATGCACTGTATTATTTTCCGGCTTACCTACAGATTCGACTTAAAGACAGATTTAGGGAATGGATCTTGTTCATGACTTGGGGACTGCCTGTACTTAAACTAATACCAGTACAAAGGCATTAATTCTTAATTCTCCACACATTCTTTGTTACTGCTGGGAAAAAGTGCATCATATTCAAAGGCCACGACTAAAACCACTATCTGACACCAGAGACGTGGGTTTAAAGCCTTGGCAGACACGGCTAATGCCACCAGCTGGTCTACTTCATCTGAGCTGAGAGTGAGAGGATCATTTCAACGAGGAGAGATGGACTTTAATGCAGTGCCTGGGTTGTGCGGGGGTCCTGGGAGGAGAGAGGGGCCCGTGACAATTCTGCCAGCCTGTCCCAATGCTTGGCGGAGGAAGCCATGCTGGAGGGGAGCGCAGGAGTGTAAATGTTTTTGATGGGGATGGGGGGGTACCTTCTGAGCTCCAGAGAAGGCATGGTAGAAACTGGACACATAGGTCATTATGGCTTTCTCATCCGGACGGGCAGTGTTGACAATGTCTGCAGGAAAACCACAGTTACACATTTACGCACACGTGCGCCCTCTCGACGGGAGACGGACAGCTGCATTCGGACACAGATATACGAACTAGAACAGATGGGCTTGTGTTATGAATTTACATGTGCGGGAAATAAAACTCAAGAATTAAGTGACCTTAGAGGACGTGTCATATGTACATTGTACTTATCAAGTTATATGATTATTCATTTGCCACAGACAAGCAAATGAAACCTAACAAGTAACTTTTTCTACAATATCTAAGAAAAGCATTAACATTAATATGCTAAGATTGAGAGCAATTTTACATTGTGTTCAAGATATTACTCTCTTCTTATGTTGTGCTACTCTGATTACTTCATAAATTGTCTGTGTGAGGAGTGTAAATGAAAGTAGGATTAAGATGGAGATACGGCATTCCGAGGCGATGAACGCTCCACTCCACCCTGCACTGGAGTACAGGGAGATGCAGAGATACTGGACCATGAAGAGAAACCAGAGCAGTGTTTTCCAACACGGTCCTTGGGGACCCACAGAAGGTCCACATTTTTGCTCCCTCCCAGCTCCCGGTAGCAAAAACATGGACTGTGAGGGTCCCCGAGGAACGGGTTGGGAAACACTGAACCAGAGACATTTAGACCACTTACACAAGCACACAAGCAGGCACACACAAGCACAAATATGCGACGGTTGGTGCAAAACATACAAGGGTCCTCACGAAGAATCTGGAATCCACATGTACGAGCACAATAACATCATTTAAATACAGGAGCGGGATCGCTGGCTTGCATTGCAGCGTCAGACACACCCCGTGATTATGAAAGACCCGAGAGACGACGACACAGAAGGGGATGTGCAGCAAGGAGAACCTTTACCTTCTGCGTCCAGCATCTTGGGAATGTCCAGGTACTTCTCAGCCACTTCAAAAGCGTTGTTTAGATTCGTCACTGGATCATCCTGACGAGGAGGATCAAACACACGCTCTGCTCTGACCAACAACTCAGCAGGCAAGATTCACTTGTTGTTGGACAAACTTGATATTTTCGACACTATGTGCAGCACGGGAAAAAAAACAGCCGTATACCAACCTTCCTCAGCTTCTCATAGTCTATCAAGTCGGGTCGGTGTCTGTGGATCAGGGCATTGAAGGCCAGGCCATCCTTCCAGCTGTCAACCAGGGCGAGAAGGAGAGGTCAGAGATCACGCAAAAGTGCCACACAAACAGAGCCAATTTACTCAAATGAGCAGAATCAGCTCTGGAGACACAGTTTACTGCTACCTTTGAAGTAGTTACTTTACTGAAGAAGCAGATACCATAATTAAGAGTAAGCATATGACCTAGACTACCTTAAGGTCCATAGCAAACGTTCTCTAAAACTATACATCCATAGTGTAAAGTTGTATGAAGCACAATGAACAATGCAGAGAGACCCCTAAGGGTTACGGTGACCTTCAGGCACCGTTCGCAAGGAGTATGTCACTTCCTCCACACCAAAACCACACCTGATGTGGAAGTTCTGCACGTTGACGTTCTTGTAGGGTGCAGTTTTCCTCTGGCACCACAGCAAGAGGCCCTCCTTCGCAGAAGTCTCTGGTGGAAGCAGGAAGAGGCAGTGGTTGGCTTTTTCCGTTTTATTTTAATCATAAGTTTAGACGGTAAGACGTAATTCTAGGGGAAAAAAAAACAAATCTGCATCTCCTTGCACGGCATGCTGGGAACTCACCCTCCACGGAGATGTCCTGGATTGCGAAGCGCAGGATGATGGTCCAAATCATTCCCAGGGTCATCTTGATATTGCCGTCCACAATTTCTGGAGGGGAAAAAAAAAAAGGCTGACACTTAGAGAGAGACTAGGAGGAAAAGTGCACAACCCAAACCAGACATCTAGCACTTAAACGCTTGGTTCTTGCGTCTCCGTATTGCGCGGCGATATGAAGGCTGCATTTGACTTGTGAAGAGCCTCACGCCTGAGGCCTTGACCCGTGCTGCGTTCGAGATCCCCTGTCACCCTGTGACTGCTACGCCATTAAGGTCACAGACCCTGAAACTGGGCTTGCCGGCCTGACAAAGCAAATCTGCCGATTGCACTGCGTCCAGCAGCAAGCGTGAGAGGTGGTGGGAACAGAAGCTTTTCACTGGGGCTGAGCTCATCCCCCAGAAGCCCCAAGCGCAGATCCCCCCACCCCCCACTATAGACACAGTTCAACCCAGATGCCTGGTATTACAATTACAAAACCACTGCCAGAAAATAAACATTATTAACAATTGCTCCCTCACATCCATGTTATTTCCATTAGTTAACCTTTCCACAGTGTAGGGTAGGGAGGAATGAGATTGGAGGTGGTTCATGCAGAAGGAGTTGGGTAATTTCTCACGATAGCCCTGAAAATGTCAGCCTGTCTGATTGGCTGACACAGGCTGCCCCCCCCAGCCACCCCCATTTGACTTTCGGGAGCCTTGTGTAACATGACGAGTAATTGACGAGGCATAATGTAAATTTTGCTGCTACAATGCATGACTTGTGTGTCTATGCACATGGACCAAGCATGGGGCACTACTTCATAGAAAGGGCAACTTAAAATAGAGGAGTGTGCATATAAACACGCGTGTGCGTGACAGCAGGCGGGGAGGCCTGCCTGGCGTGAAACCTCACCCTCAGCGCCGATGGACACCAGCTTCACTCCCTTGCTGGCGATGAAGTCCAGGGCTTTGTTGACGTTGTTGATCTTGTGGACCCTCATCTTGCCTCGCTCTGGCTTGGGTAACCGCTCACCTGGAGGTGTGACCCAAACAAACACGCTGGAGCTCACATAAGGCCTGATATGACACTCAAGCTGAACTTGAGCAAGATTAGTCAAGGTTTACTGGACCAAAGGGAATGAAGGAAAAAATCCATTCTGCATCAGTCAGCTGTGAGTTATATATAAAACATATAAAACATCAAAACAATATCATTCAGAGGCAGGACATCTGCCTAAAATATCAGATGCATGCTGTAAGCACAGAGGAGTATTCATTTCCATAAACATAGCTGAATCCTTTTAAGTGTCTTCTCTTTTTTGACAGGAAATGCAAGACCTTGCTGCCCATATATGCAGGAATTATTTTTAGTTTCAAATCTGTACCTCTATAAATCCATGAATTAGTTCAACAACTTTAATTCATGAACAAACATTACAGTATATCACTACATATAACTACTATTGACGGAGTGACGCACTGAGAAACACTGTCAGGGTACAGGTAGGTTTTTGGATTCGGGGGGGGGG